AGAGAGAGAGAGAGAGACAGAGAGAGAGAGAGAGAGTAAAGTTATTGATCATGTTTCTATAAAGTTATTTGTGATCAGCTGGTTGTGAACTCAGATCTGAAACTTTCTAAAACATGAACCCTGTGAGCGGTGGAGAGGAGCCATCTTTGTTTTCAGGTCCAAACACTCGTTCATCTGTGGGTTTTTTCCTCCACCCCCACCTCTCCCCCTCACTAACGAGGCCCAATTAACCAATCAGAGTGCTCCAGGCAGACACACAAAAACAAACTGTTTTCTATTCAGATTGAGAGGCTGGCTCCACATGTGACCTGTGTGTGTGTGTGTGTGTGTGTGTGTGTGTGTGTGTGTGTGTGTGTGTGTGTGCCCTGGCAGTGCCCACATTAGCTGGAGTGTGTGTGGGCTCTTTTTGAATATAGTTTACGTCTCTGTCTCTCTCGTCCGTCTGAAGCATGATGGGTAAATTAATTTCCCAGTAAAAAACATAGAAAACATAAAAAAACATAATTACCATAATGTACAAATAAGCTGAGCAATTATTTCATTATAGTCGAGCTCCGTGCTCCAACTCTGCATCACTGCCAGAGTTCGTCTGTGTGTGTGTGTCTGTGTGTGTGTGTCTGTGTCTGTGTGTGTGTGTGTGTGTGAGTGTGTGAGTGTGTGAGTGTGTGTGTGTCATGTTTGCACAGGGATAATGGGGTAAATATAAACAACATTACTGCCAATTTTGTAGTGCTGCACGTGTGTGTACGTGTGTGTGTGTGTGTGTGTGTGTGTGACTGGTGAATGGCTCTCGACAGGAAGTGCATTAAACTGCTGCCGGCCAATTAAGAGCTGTTTATCCCGTTCCCGTGGTTACGAGGGGGCGAGCAGGTGAAGTGAGCGAAGAGAGCGACTGAAGTGGTTAATTAGATGTGATGGTCTCTCGCCCACTTCAATACAATATACAGGAGGAGGAGGAGGAGGAGGATGGACAGACACTCTTGACTTGAAAAGGAGGGATAATGGATAGAAGAGGAAGAAGAAGAGGAGGAGGAAGACGAAGAAGAGGATGAAGTAGAGGAGGAAGGAGAGGACGAAACAGGGGAGGAGGAGGAAGAAGAGGAAGAAGAGGAAGAAGAGGAAGAAGATGAGGAAGAGGAGGAAGTTGTGTGGTTCAGTATCATCAGTTGAATAAAGGAGCAAATGTTGAAAGTTTGATCTGTTGATTTCTCACAGAAACAGTTTTTTGAATCTTCAGGTGTTGTCATGTTGTTGTCATTGTGTTGTTGTTGTTGTCATGTTGTTGTCATTGTGTTGTTGTTGTTGTCATGTTGTTGTCATTGTGTTGTTGTTG